TCAACGGAGCCGCCGATGCTCCTGGTGGGAGCTGCAGCGACTGCGGCGGGTCCCCCTCCTGGCATCCGGGGAGTGGAGGGCCCGCGAGGAGATGGGGGGACGTCGTGGGTTTGCCTCCTGCCCCCTCCTGCCTGCTGGCGGTTTAGAGATAGGGAGACAGGAACGCACCCTCCTGGGGAAGGGCTCCGGGGACCCCAAGGACTCAGGGCTGATGCGGAATCCGCCCCTTCTGCCCCCTGCCGCTTCTTTGGGGTGTGACCTTCTTCTCCTTCCGGATAGGGTTCTAGAGGGTCTGGCCGGCGGGGGCGACGGGCGGTAGGCCTTCCCAGCAGGCTCCTCTCCCGCGCTCTGAGCGCCAGAGCGCCCCAGGCTCGGGCACAGCTGCCTCTGCGGTCCGCAAGGTGCAGTCCCAGCGACGCAAATACGCCCCAGCGCCCAGGGCTCCCAATCCCACAGCTCCCACCCCGCTCTGCCCCCTGAGCTCAGGGGTTGCCTCTCCTTTGGGCTAACTGGCTTCTTCAAGCTGGCCTAATTCTGAATTCGGTGGCTCCTTATCACCGCGGAGGGCTTTGCGCTCGCCATTCCCTTGGCCTGGGACTCTGCCCTGCCCTTGCAAGGAGGCGAGTTCTGCAGAGAATCAGCTTGGAAAGGGGAGGCAGGGGTGGCTCTCTGCTAGAATGCACACGCCCTCCCAGGGCTGCGAGGGAGCCCTGCGCCGACCAAACAGCAGACACCGGGGTGCAGGGAACCTGTGGGCTGAGCGCCATCATGCGGGAGAGGGAGGCCCACCCTAACGTAGGGAAGGCCGGAGGAGTCTGGGGCCTAGGGAGCCCCCGTCCAATGGTGCATGAGGGGATGGAGAGGGCTGGCAGTGCCGAAGGCCTTCCCACCTGAGTGCTAGGTGGGCCTCATGGACTGTGGGTAGCGCGGACTGTCACTCCCACTTTGTCATCGCTGTCACCTAAAACCCAGGTGAGGCCGGCCCCCCCATGGGCTTGCATGGGATCCAGGATCCACAGTTCCAGCCAGAGTCCCGTGGAACCTTCTAGTCTCAGACAGAGAAACCCAGAGTCTGGACCAGGTCTCCACGTTGGTCTACTGAAGCAGGTGGCTCCTCTCTGAGGCCATCACTCTTTTTTTTTTTCTTCTTATTTTGGAGAGGTTTTCGCTATAGGGCGCGTGCACTCGCCAGACAGAGAGAGACAGAGAGACAGAAAGTGAGAAATCACCCCCCAGGGGAGATGGCCACGCTGCAGTCCCTTCTCCTCCATTCTCTTCTCGGGATCTCGGGCACACATGCACACGGTGTGAGTTTTAAGCCACCAGGTCCGGGACTCGAACCGTGGTCAACTACGTGGGAGTCCAGCGACATAGCCATTACGCTAACTGCTGGTTCCAAGGCCACTACTTTTACCAGTGTGGGATTCAGTGTGCTGATTGGCTCAGGCCTGGATCCCACCCTCTGGGCAAAGGTCAGGGAAGATCCTTCCCAGGCCATTCAGCTGCCACTGGAGAGGCGGGGCACTAAACACCCAGGGGACAGGTGCTGAGGAGGGAAGTACTTGATGGCCCTTCCTGGCCTTCCCAGACTTCTCCCTCTCTCATCTCTCTCTCCTCACCTGAGACCCTTCTCTCCCATTTCCCTTATTTGTACAATAATTTTTTAAAAAAGAATTCTTTTATTAACTTTATTTATTTAGTTACCAATGTTTAAATTTGACCAGAGAGGGACAGAGAGAGAAAGAGAGAGAGAGGAAGAGAGAAAGCAAACCGCCAAATCACAGTCGGCCATGTGGGAATCCAGGAGCCCCAACCACCACACCACCTGCCGGCCCCTGTACAATCACTTTTATCGTATGACTAGTTTTGGTAATAACAGCTAATATTTATATGAGACTTACACCCTATATTTGCTGCCTCCTGTAGTCTTTTTTTTTTTTTAAGAGAGATTTTTGGTATAGGGCATGTGCGCACACCAGAGAGACAGAGAGAGACAGAAACTGAGAAATCACCCCTGCCCTGGAGGATGGCCACGCCGCATTCCCTTCTCCTCCACTCTCCTCTTGGGATTCTGGGCCTGCACACAAACATGCCTGAAATGAGTTTCAAGCTGTCGGGTCCAGGACTTGAACCGTGGTTGGCCATGTGGGAGTCCAGCGATGTAACAATTGTGCCAGCTGCTGGTCCCTGCCTCCTGTAATCTTTACAATCCCTTGTTCATACCATCATTATCCTCATTTTATAGAGGAGGAAAATTGAGGCTCAAAGGCGAAGGAGCATAGGGTCAATCACCTGGAAAATAGCCGAGCCAGGATTTGAACCCTGGCCTTCTTAACGATTCTTAATCATTTTACTATAATGCATCTCTCCCCACACAGTGCAAGCGCAAGACTAGAAACCAAATACCCACCTGAGTCCAGGCCTGGCAACTGGCACACAGTAGGCCCTTTACATACTACTGGAGTGAGCAAGTGCCTAGCACTGTCTTATAGGGGTAACGCCACGTGACCCTGGCAACCCCGTGAGGTTGCTCTGGGGTTTCCCTTGTGTGGGCAGAGCAGGCCTCAGAGGTGCAGCAGCACCCCAGCCGGGAAGACCCCACTTTCTCTTCTCAGCACAGAGGTCAGTGTAGAACACATTCCCCACATCTGAAAGCAGGGAAAAGGTGCCCCATAGATACTCATTGAATGAATGACACAAATTAAACATGGGACCAGCAGGTGGCATGGTGGTTAAGGCATTGGACACTCCCATATGGCTGACCACGGTTCGAGTCCCGGATGTGGTGGCTTGCTTTCTCACTTCCCCACCCCCTTCTCTCTGTGTCTCTCTCTGGTCAAATTAAAATAAAAATGAATTAATAAATAAAAATTTAAAAAAAATTAAACATGAACAGTGGGGGTGGGAGAGAGTAAGCATGACATGTTTCTGGACGGAGCTGAAGGAGGTGGCTGTGGTTTGCTATTTTCTCATACTTCCAGAGAGAGGACTTTCCTGTAGAGGAGTTGATGTGATTGTGGAGAGGACATGGAAGGGGGGGTCCAAAAACTCCTCCCTTTCCAGGCAGGAGGCCCATCCCAGTACTCTCTCTCTCTCTCTCTCTTTCTCTCTGTCTCCTCATTCCCCCAAGTGGTTAACAAGCATTGGGTGGGGTTGGGAGGGTGGGAAGGCAGGTGTGGGGCAGACCGAGAGGGTCTTGGGGGTCCTCAAGTTGCAGGGAGTAACGACCCCTTCTCTCTTCCCTCCCCACTCGGTGGTGGCCGCTCCAGCTCTGTGCCTGGTCCTGGGCTGCATGATCTTCCCCGACGGCTGGGACGCCGAGACCATCCGGGACATGTGCGGGGCCAAGACGGGGAAGTACTCCCTGGGGGACTGTTCGGTGCGCTGGGCGTACATCCTGGCCATCATCGGCATCCTCAACGCCCTCATCCTCTCCTTCCTCGCCTTCGTGCTGGGCAACCGGCAAACAGACCTGTTGCAGGAGGAGCTCAAACCGGAGAATAAAGGCGAGTGCTCCTGGGCGGGCAGCGGGCCTGCGCGGTGGGGACGATTTCAGATAAACGTGGTCAAAGCGGGGCCAGCAGGGGGCGTGGTGGTTCCATCTCTGGACTCCGCCATGGCTGACTGAGGTTCCAGTCCCAGGACACCAGGTGGCTTCAAACTCACACCAGGCACATGTGCACACATGCTCAAACTCCTGGGAAGAGAATGAAGGAGACTCCTTCTCACGATCTCTGTCTCTCTCTCTCTCTCTGACGAGCAAAAACCTCTACAAAAAAAAAAAAAAAAAGATAAAAACCAGCCTTGGTATGGTGGTTAAGGTGTTGGATCCCACATGGCTGAGTCTGTGGTTCCAATCCTGGATCCCAAGGGCTTGAAAAACATGTGAGGCGTGTGTGGGTGGAGTACCCAAAATCCAGAGAGGAGAATGAAGAAGGGATTATAGGTGGCGAGCCCCTCCAGGAGGCGATGTCTCACTTTCTGTCTCTCTCCTGCAAGTGTACTCAAAAAATTCTAAAACAAACAAAAACAAACAAACAAACAAACAAACAAAAAAGAGATCAAAGCCCGCAGCACCTGGGGGCATTGTTAGGGTGGCCGGATCCCACATGGCGGGCTATGAGGTCAAGTGCTAGACCAGCCGCTTGGAAGACACGTGGGTGCGTGTGCATGCGTGCCTAGGATCCTGAGAGGACAAGGGATGTCAGTGTGACCATCTGCCCTGGGAGGTGGTTTCTCACTGTCTCCTGCACTGGCCAGTAAACTAGGCCTCTGGGGAAAATTCAAAAACAAACAAACAAAAACTGATCAAAGGGAAACAAATTGGGCAAGCAGGTGGCATGGAGGTTAAGACGCTTGATCCCACATGGCCAGTTTTGCAGTTCATGTCCCTGACCTAGCGGGTTGAGGGCCACAGGGCTCGCATGTAGATATGCCCAACATCCCCCGAGGAGAGTGGAGGAGAAGGGATGGTGGCATGGCCATCCCTCCTGGAAAGTGATTTCGCTCTTTCTTCCTGTCTCTCTCTGGAGCACACATGTGCCCTATAGCAAAAACTAAAAGAAAACAAGACTCAATAAAAAAATAAAGGCAAAAATTGGAAGCCACCCTGGAGACAATCTGGCGACATTCCCTCCACCATTTGCACGCTTCTGACCCAGCAAGCCCACCTCAGCTCTAAACCCATGAGAAGTGTACCCCGTGAGAGAGGAACAGGAATGCTGGTGCCGGAGCTCCCACAGTAGGGGCAGCTGAAAACAACCTGGGTGAATAAACGGTGGTGTACGCACGTCACAGAGTTCACAACTGAGAACGAATGCATGTTAGTTACGTGTGACAGAACGGATGCATCTTTGGACCATAAGATTGAGAGAGAAGAAAATCCAAGTTCCAGATGACAATATGTGTGTGTGTGCGTGCGTGTGTGTGTGTGTGTGTGTATATATATATATATATATATATATGCATGCAAGCACATGTCCCCGGTGTGATTTTCCTTTTTAATTTCTTTCTTTCTTTCTTTTTTTTTTGGAGAGGTTTTTGCTATAGGGCGGGTGCACTCACCAGACAGACAGAGAGAGACAGAGAGACAGAAAGCGAGAAATCACCCCCTGGGGGGATGGCCACACCGCCATCCCTTCTCCTCCATTCTCTTCTCGAGATCTTGGGCACGCACACGCACCTGGTGTGAGTTTAGGCCACTGGGTCCGGGACTCGAATCACAGTCGACTACTTGGGAGTCCAGTGACATAGCCATTATGCCAACTGCTGGTCCCTCCGGTGTGATTTTCAAGCCACTGAATCTAAGATTAGAACTGTGGTCGGCCATGTGGGAGTCCAGCGCCTTAAACACCATGCCACCTGCTGGCTCCAGACAGTGATATTTTGATTGAGCTCGAAATCAAGCAAAACTAGGCAGTATAGTGTTTAAACATGTATTTATGGTACAACTATAATTTTTGAAGAAGTGAAGAAGTGATAAATAAAAAAGGCAGGATGTGATGACCCGTGATTGGAATGGAAGGGAAGAAGTGGGAGCATGAGATGGGGGCTTGCAGGAATATGCAAATTACTGGCAGTTACAGCCTTGAATGCGAGCTCACAGGTATTTATTGCAGTGTGCTTTCTGAGCACGTTCGGGTTTATATAAAAGTTTATATTACATATAAGTTTTTGTCTGTATCAGGTAACATTAAGATACAATAAAGTGGGGGCCAGCAGGTGGCATAGTAGTTAAGGCGCTGGACTCCCACATGGTCGAACATGCCTCAAATTCTGGACCTGGTGGCTTGAAACTCATGCCAGGTATGTGTGCGTGGATGCCCAAAATCCCAAGAGAAGAATGGAGGAGAAGGGACTGTGGCGTGGCCATCCGCAGTAGGTGCTGATTTCTCACTTTGTCTCTCTCTGTGTTTCTGGTGAGCAAAAATATCTCTAAAAAAATAGTAAAAGAAGATGGGGCTGGCAGGTGATGTGGTGGACTCCCACATGGGTGACCATGGTTCAAGTCCTGGACCTGGTGTCTTGCCTTCTCACTTTCTCTCTCTCTCGCTATCCATCTCTGGTCAAATTAAAATAAAATAAAATAAATTTTTTTTTGGAGAGTTTTTTTTTCTTTTTTTCCACTATAGGGCACATGCGCTTGCCAGACAGACAGAGACATAGAGACAGAAAGTGAGAAATCCCCCCCGGGGGGATGGTCACGCCGCTATCCCTTCTCCTCCATTCTCCTCTCGGGATCTTGGGCATGCACGCACACACGTCTGGTGTGAGTTCTAAGCCACTGGGTCTGGGACGCGAACCGCGGTCGACTACGTGGGAGTTCAACGACATAGTCATTACGCCAACTGCTAGTTCCCAAATAAAGTAATTCTTAAAACAAAACAAACAAACAAAAAAACAAGTCCGGGCAGGCAGGTGGCATGGTGGTTAAGACACTGGACTCTCACATGGTCAACCGTGGTTTGAGTTCCAGACCTGGTGGCTTGCTTTCTCATTTTCTCTCTCCAGTCAAATTAGAAAATAATAATAAAAAATAAAATAAAATAAAAAATTCTTTAAAAAGAAAGAAAGAAAACAAGTCCAGTAAGGCCAGAGCCTCAGGGGTAATAACTGCTGTTATCAGACCCTTTTCTGGGCATCTACAGACATCGTAACAGAAGATGAAGAACCGCAGTTTATGTAACGATTCACCTTCAGGGGCTGCTGGGAAGGTTTCCAGGTTCCTACTATGACTGACAACGCCACAGAGGACGTCTTTGTCCCAGCCTTCTCATACTGTGATGGGAATGGTACCGCCTCCTAGGCTGTTATGCAGAAAAAACCGGGCCTGCCAAGTGTCAGAAGGGTTAGAGACCTCCCATTACTTGCCCAAAGCTCATCTGTGTGGTAGAGTCAGGATTTGAGATTAGGTCCAAAGCCCAAGCTCTGGTCCATGCCATGTGGTGCCCCTTAGTCTACTGAGGTCAGACTTCCTGCTCCCTTTTCAGGACCCCCCTGGGGTGCTGGTCTGCTCAGAGGCTCCTGCTGATTGAGACCCTCAGACCAGGTGGTTTCTGCCCTCTCCGTTTGAGGTCAGGGTCTGCCCTCTAGTGGTTGCTTCCAGCAGTGCAAGCAGGAGGGGCTTGGGGATGATCTTACCTTCCAGCGTTAAAAAGTGAGGCATGTGGGACCAGCTGTTGGTGTAATGGCTATGTTGCTGGACTCCCACGTAGTCCTCCATGGTTTGAGTCCTGGACCTGGTGGCTTAGAGAAGGGATTGTGGCGTGGCCTTCTACCCTGGGGGGGTGATCTCTCATTTTCTGTCTCTCTGTCTTTCTAGCGAGCTTACGCGCTCTATACCAATTCCCCACCCCCCCAAGAAAAAGAAAAGAAAAGAAAAAAGTGAAGTATAGGGGCCAGGAAGTAGAACAGTGAAAAGTGAAGTATAGGGGCCAGGAAGTAGAACAGTGGTTAAGGCACTAGACTCCCACATGGGTGACCACAGTTCAAGTCCCAGACCTGGCGGCTTGCTTTCTGTCTCTCTGTGTCTCTCTGGTGAGCACACATGCCTTATAACACATTAACAAAAAATTAAATAAATAATTCTAAAAAAGAACTAGGAAATAATATCTTTAAAAAATGGGGAGGGGGCAGCAGGTGGTATGGTGGTTAAGGGTACTAGACTCCCACATGGCCAACCGTGGTTGGTTTGAGTCCCAGACCTAGCGGCTTTCTCTCTCTCTTTCTCTCTCACTCTGTCCCTTTCTGGTCATATTAAAAATAAATAAATAAAGGGAACAGCAGTGAGCGTAATGGCTATGTCGCTGGACTCCCATGTAGTCGACTGCGGTTCGTGTCCCGGACCTGGT